TTCTTTAACGTTATATTTATAGTTCATTCTATTTGTGGTACTTCAAATGAAGGTCAACAAAATTATTCATCACATACGAAAGAAATATTTATTTTTTACTGACTTTTTTAAAATTAATGAATCATCAACAATATTTGACCAAGATGTCTCTATATTTTGCCATGCTTCAGAGCTAACTAAATATCAAATTGAACGCGAAATGAGATTTGAAATAGAAGAAAAATCAGTAAAACAACAAATTTTTGTTTCACTCCTGAATGAGTACATAACACATCTGTAGTTATCTCAGCAATGGCTCGTAGTATATAAATGAAATTTTTAGGCTAAGTCCAGTAATTAGTGATGTATCTTTGGTGAAAGTTTCAGACGAATCTAGCCAGATAAAGAGAGATACCTGAAAAAATAAGGTCTTCAGTTTATCTTGGTCACGAGGATATATATCGACTATTATCTTTCTTTTTTTGGTTTGTTTAGGTGAAAACTTAAGTATGTGTTGTCTTTTTTTCATATCCCTATATATCAGAAATAAACTTATTGTTATATGAAATAACAAAATTTCCTCAGAGGTAAGATAATTCGAAAAAATTTTCCGAGTCGAATCGGAGTCAGGTCAGGCTGCAAAAAAATTTTTTCAGTAAAGCGGCTTTTAACTGCGACTCTGATAGAGCGGCAGTTAGAATCGGATTTCGAAGTACTCCGGAGGTCTCTATCCATGGGTACCCCTAGTATAGAACCTGGAGACCCAAGAGTACCACCTAGCATAGAAATTCAGGACGCAAGGAAATTCCCGTTTGGTAGGAGTTGTGGCCCCAAGGGTATCACCCTATTGGCATGATGACGCATCGGTCACTCTAGGTTGTGGAAGATTTAACCTCACAAACATTTAAAAAAAACTCTCTGTAAAATCAAAAGTGCACCCCCGACGGTTTACGAAACATGTTGCAAACTCCGAGATAATCTGCCGACCAGAGCTATAAACCCTATTTTAATCCAACAGCCGTTCAACAAGATTTTTTTTTGACTAATCTTACCAAAAAATTCAGTGTTGAACTCTGTTACATTTCATTCTTTTGTCTGAAAAATAGATGGAACTTTCAATGTCATTTCGTTATGAGAGTGAAAATGACATACTCGGATGGTAAAATTGTCTGTGTGCTGCTCTTGGATGGAGGAAAAGATAAGCTTTTAACATGGTAATTGAAAATGTCAAGGTGTCAAACTATCTCCATTAGAAAATCGACCGAAAGACGAAATTTCATAACGATTCAAATTCGGTAACGGACAGTGTCTACAGGTTTTTGTTTGATGTTATTATACTCTGTTCAGAAATGAACTAATATTCTGAAAGCTTGTAGAAAACTGAACAATTTGTATAGATAGCTTTTAGTTGTATGTCACTTCCTTGCGCAGTAAAATACTTGTCTTTCTACTTACTGTAAAAGAATTTCCATTTTTTGAAATTCCACGACGGTCAGAATGTTTTTAATAGCTCAGCCTTACGTGCATATAAATCGATAAAAATTTTATTGGTAATAGATCTAAATGGTCTCTATTTATTATAAAAATTTCAGGGAATTCGTCTGTATCTTTGATGATACATAAGTGTTGCAATGTAAAAAAATGAAATTACATAACGTGTGACCATGCCGCTCTTACGGCACTTGAGGACCTCGAGGCACCCACTAGTATAAACGTAGGGACCCAATGGTGCCTCCCCCTCTAGTATAGGACTTAAGGACTCAAGCTTACCTCCCATAGCAATACTTCAGGAGCCGAGGGTACACTTCTAAAGTAGGAGTTATGGCCCTGAGAGCACTGTTACCAGTTACTGGGTAACGGTAGCTTTCCACTCCTATTTTAGTTAAGTGCCATTAAATAAAATAGTCCACCTTCTTTAAATCTTAAAATCTTTAAAATCTTTCAAAATCTCTAAAATCTCTCAAAATCTTTTAAAATCTTAAAATCTTAAAAACTGCTTTTCCTCCTTGCCCTCCCTTCAGTCGAGGGAATAACTGGAAACTGCTATTCAATGGAACTTTTTAGACATTCTCGTGAGAATTTTCACTGTTTTATAGAAATTTTTCGCGTGAGTGTGGGTTCCCAGTTTCAGTGTACTCGTTCTTAAGAATTCCGTTTCTAGGAACGAGGAACTATCGGGGCTAATTTTGTCTACAGGATTTTTTTACTTATTAAAGATTTATTGAGTTTATGCTATTTTACTATATCCACATCCTTATCTTCATCCTCATCCTTACTCTCACCCACATCCACTCATACCCTTACTCACAATCTCACCCACTCTCACCTACACCCTCATTCACACCCTCACGCACATCCTCACTCCCACTCACCTACACCATCACTCACACTTACACCACCACTCACTCACACCCACACTCACACCCACACTCACACCCACACTCACACCCACACTCACACCCACACTCACACCCACACTCACACCCACACTCACACCTTGTTTGTATCGTGAAACAATATGGGATTTATCCCAAAATGCTTACGGACATATTAAAAAGTCCCATTAAATCTCGAAAAAACAAGTGCCGGTAGCTGCTGATACACACACAAAAACCCACAATATAGTCACATTCATTTACTCATTGAAACATGTTCGCAAGGGCTATTTGTGAACACAGAGTAAAGAAAATTGACTGAAAATAGTGAGACACAATAGAGGGAGTTGAGAGGTGAGACATTTTTTTGCTTGAATTCCAACAAACGTAAATACCAGTAGAGTACCCATTTCGATAATCGATTTTTGTCATGGAAATCATGTGTGCGACAATTTACTAAACGTCTATATGCTATGCTTCATAGGATATTCTATTTCATTCGCAATGCGAGCTTGAGATTATCTCACCACTTCATATCCAGTACAATATTTAACAGCAAAGTAATTTTTTTGCTCTATTCGACAGACCCTTGTGGTATTCTCTGGCTCATTAATAGATTCAGTTGACAGTAGAAGAGTTCTCTCACGAAACCAAACTTAAATGCTAAATCTTGAGTACCGCTTTTAACGAATGAGCATTTCTTTGACCCAATGATAATCTCAGGATTTCTGATGTTCTTAACAGTTGATATAGCATGTACTTTTCATAGCAAAGGAATCCATAAGATGGAAAAATCTATGATTTCTGACTGCTATAGCGTATATATTACGGCTAGAATTTATAGTCATTTATGAGACGTTTGCCGAGTAAGCGCATGAGAGGAAAGCTCGTTAGCGTCGTCCTAGAGAGGCTGAAGTATGGACCTCACATAGTCCATATAAAAATATGTGCGCAGTGACCTTCAGCTTCGATTGCTAAGATCTGTAATGGGGAGAGAGGCTTGCCTGTAATGATGGATTCTGTTGCTAATGGTTTCGTGGAATTTCGCCAATAAGAATTTCGCCAACGGAATTTCAACAGTGTCCATTTTCCAGTGTAATTTCAAAATTTTTCGAAATTCCACTGGAAAATGGACACTCGAAATTCCGTTGGCGAAATTCTTATTGGCGAAATTCCGTCTTACCTTGCTAATTATCTGTAACTGGGGGTTGAGGGCGGTGGGGAGCCGCAAAATTCGACTTTAAACTTACAGTAACTAAACTCTTCGAAAATACGTAAGTGGCACTAATGAAGTGTTTTCTTCGGGGTCCGAACAGTTGCTCGCGGGACAGTTACACGCGGACACTTGCTCGCTATGACAGTTGCTCGCTATAGGACCCTATGTAACTGTTATAGCGAGCAAGTGTCCAAAGGAGCAAGTGTCCTAAAGTCGTTTTCTTCAAATTAGATTATATAATTTTGAAATAATTTTTTCGCCGAAAAGACAAGTCATAGCAAAACCTTGGACGTTTTATAATATCGGTCAAAATGGCCACCAATGATGCAAATAGTGATGCGTTAGGTCATACACAACAAATAGGGACAATTATTCGCTCCAATCAAGCCATCCGTCGTCATGTACAACTCTCTGTAAATGACTTTCTTGATGTACGCAAGACATTGCTTGAGGAATTAAAGACACATGGGCTTGATGAAATCGACCAATTCAAGCCGCTTGCTGAGACTATGAACATACAGACGCTAAACAAGAAAGTTACATCGGAAAAAGTTCAGTTGGCATTGTGTGGTGAAAACTCGAGTGGCAAGACTTCATTTTTGCATAGGCTTCTTCAAATCGGTGACATATTGCCTTCAGGAGTGGGTCCCGTAACCGCACGAATTATTCGATTAATGTACGCAGATCCAAAGCACTCATGTATTTGTATTTTCAAGTCGCTTGAAGACAGTCTGCAAGGGTCAAAGTCGAAAATTGTTCAGAAAATTGATTTGAGTCCATTTTTTACTGGCGGCGATCAAACTCAATCGAATGAATTGGGCTCGTTAGATAATACGAACTGGGATGGAATTATGTATGTACTAGAGGAGCATATCAAGCGACCTGTTGAGAAGGATATTAGTTCTAGTGACTTTGCTGACTGGGCTCGTCACTTTGTTGAAATTCGTCTGCCATCTCCCACATTGAAATGGAACATCGATGTTTACGACACACCAGGCTTTCTGTTCGATGATGCTCCTGTTCTGAAAGAAATTCTTAGCAATTTAGTCCATCATGTTCATCCAACTCTGGTTTTCCTATACGACAATGCTTCAACAACTGATGAAATGAACAATTGTTATTTGGCCATGAAAAGTGCACTTAAGCAGTTCGATTCTTCGAGCATTTTCTATTTAAATACCAAAGTCGATATTGACCACATGCCCAATATAACGCAATCTACAACGTTGGAACAATTCAAAAAAATACTCGCTGAACAACGATCCACTCGCTATGATCTACTGAAAAAAGCTCCGTGCTTAGGAAATGACAATTTAATTGGTTTACCAGAATCGATTGACGACTGCGATTGTTTTGATATTTGCAGCGTATTATCGAATGCAGACGAACTTGGCGCCTACATGAATACTTGTGCCATCTATCGCTTGATTCAATTCGTAGCAAACAGTGACTTAGTCGTCGCCAAACGAGTTACTAGTCTTGTATTGCCCGCGATCGAAGCATTTTTCGATTTGACTCTTATAATCAGTCATCGAACATCTGATCAATTGCAACAACTTCGACGCGATGCACTGTCGTGGCATCAAACGTATTTTTCTGAACATCGAAAACATTTTGATGCATTTCTCACTAAAGTATATGATATTATTCAAACACAATTGGAATTGACACGTCACAAGTTGATTATGGAGGCTGCCAAGCTCAAGAATAAAAACTCAATCGAATTATATTTGTGTACGGCAGTGAAGCATGTAGTAGTCAAAAAGGCTGTGAGCGATACAGTATCCGAAATGGTGAATACAATTATTAAAATGTTTTTATCAAATCGTAACCTTATGGTCAATGCGTCGTCGAACGAACTACTAGTAGCAGCATTGCGCACGGAGGATAGTGAAGTATTGGCAACGGTAATCAAAGAATCTTTAACAAAAGCTACTTTTCAGTATTACATGTTGAATAGCATTACTACACCAACAATGCTCGTTGCTGAAATTTTATTTAGTGATGATGACACCGAAAGCAGTAATGAAACCGTAAAAGGTTTACTTAAACAATTGCAGCATACACGCTATCAATCTCAACAGCGAACTTCGAATTCCTTCGACATTATTGACAATAAATTAGAAGCACAGCAATGTCTGGATGGAATAGCATCGCAAATGAGAGACGAAAAAACTGCCCTCGGATTAATCATTGGACTTTGGAGCGATGCACAGAAAGAAAAATTGGTGAAAAAGATTAATGAACTTTATAAAGGAGCAGAAAAATTGCTTCCCTTGCGTAACAAGGCTCATGGGCTGATAAAAAAGTATGCTTCTTCATTTGCTCGCATATATTGTCATCTTCAGGCCGCTCAGGATTTGGCAAAGTTCGATGGCATGGAACCTAGAATAGAAACTGACGATTCTCAATCGACCACTTACAGTATTCACAAAGCTAAATGGGAAAATAAACAACTCCTGGTTAAGCGATTACGTCAGCCTGAGGTTAATGAACCCAATACGGCTTATTTCGAAGGAAGCTATCATTTGAAAGTGAAAAGTCTTAATATTCCATATATCGTGGACATCTCATATCTGTATGTGAAAGAATTGCCTGATAAAACTCGTGACTTATGGATGTTATTTCCATTGATTGAAAGAAACTTGGTAGATTTTATGCAGCAAGCCCATAAAAAAATGGCACTTGATACAGTACTCGAGATGATGACTCGGATCAGTACAGCACTGGAGTGTTTACATAAGAACGAACTTGTTCATCGTAATGTCACGGCAAGTAATATTGTTTTCGATGACAATAATCGGATTCATTTGATTGACTTGGGCGATTGGTATACTGATAAAAGCCATGATCTTACCATTCGGCATGATCCACTGGGAACACCAAATGGAACAAATGACGATATTCGTGATTTAGGTCATCTGGGTCTTGAGCTCCTGCCACTTATCGAATGTTCCAATGAAGAGCAACATCAACAAGAGAGATTGAACAATTTTCAAGAAGCCGCGCTTCGATGGTCCAAAGCTAGTTCCAATGAGCCAATATCAGCAGAATCTATTAAAGTTGAACTCAAGTCTATCTAAATTCATTTGATTTCATTTATTACCTCTAGCAGTTGGCCATGATATATTTTTACCTGTTCTTAATAAACTCACTTTTCATTTTCTAGATAATTTTCGACTGTGATGGCGTCAGCCGACACAAATAATCGTCTCGTCGATATAAAAACATCATTAGATTCTAATCGTCAATTAAAGAATAGTGTAATTCAAGTGGCTTGTGATTTCATCGAGATACGTGATGCATATATTAAACAATTGCCTGCATTCACCTTTGACGCAGAACGAAAAGAAACAGTTAATGATCGCCTTCAACGCATAAGTTATAAGAGTATTCAACAGCGAGAAATTCCACTTGGTCTTATTGTTTTCGGCCCTAATTCTAGCGGTAAAAGTTCATTCATTCAACATTTTCTTGAAATTGGTGATATTCTTCCATCGGGCGTTGGACCAGTAACTGCTCGCATAACCAAGATGACCTATGCGCCGGCTGAGCAGGCACGCGCACTCGTATACAATTCTCTTCAAGCTAGCCTAGAGTGCAATCACACGTCGACTGAGGTCGATTTGAGATCATATTTCTTAGAACCAGAGCCACAATGGATAGAGATAAGCAAAGCTCTTAGTAAACATTTGAATCGAGCCGAGAATAGTGACACCGATCTGGAAGAATGGGCAAAGACCTTTATAGAAATACGCCTACCATCTCCAACGTTGAAAATGGGTATTGATATGTATGACACGCCTGGTTTCCTTTCAGGCAATCGTGAAAGTGTGCTAATTAATAACCTGTATGATCTTGCTAAAACTGTACGCCCAACGTTGTTATTTCTCTATGAGAATCCATCAGTAGTGGAAACAGACATGGCTTGTTTCATGGGAATGAAGCAGGCGATTGGCAGTCTCGATCGTATACCAATATTTTTTCTTAATACAAAGGCTGATGTTGCTTTGATTTTGAAAGATAGTCGAGTCAATCAATGCAATGTGTCATTAGCTCGCTTTCAACAATCACTTCACGAAACACGTCAAAAACGGTACGATCTTTTGCGTGAACAGACCGCTTTAGCGAATGAACTACTGGGTAGTTTACCGGTAGATGTCGACGAATGTTTATGTTTTGGTATTTGTTCGATACCAAAAGGCCGTACATTGCGGCGCGAATTGACTGATCATATGAATAAAGAGACATTTTCACGCATAATTTCTTTTGCCGTTCAAACGGGTTCCGAATATGTACAAGAACTAGTCAATGATATTCTCTTGGCTACGGAAGACTTTTTTGACTTGGCACTATCGGCCAGCTATCGTGATGCTGAACACTTCCAAAAGCTACGTGAGGATGCGCTCGAATGGGGCAATCTGTTCTTCGCTCAATTCAAGATTGATTTGCCTAAACTCGCTGAATATTTGCACAAAACTATAGTGGAATTATTTGAGGAGAAAAAAAAGAGTATTGCTGATCGAGCTGCTCGTTTAGTACGTGACGACGATCCATTGGCTATCCATTTACCAACTAACTCGAAAAATGTTCGAGACTTCATTCACGTTGCCGTCGAAGAAGAAATCATGAAGGTAGCTGTTAATAAAACTCTGAGTAGCTTATGTACTCAAGTGAAAACTACTCTAGAAGTACATTTTGACAATCAAATGAGAAGAAGAAATGAACTTTTAAGACTTGCCCAGCGTTTTGTATTACCTGAAATCTCACCAAGTATTTTGACTAAACAACGACTACTAAGCAAATTTATGGAAGGCCTTATCAAGTTACCTATGCAAATCGGTCGATTCTTTCGAAGTTTACCAACTCTTCCTTATATTGAGTACTATAATACTGTTACTCACAATCAAGTAACCAGCGAGGATGATCCAATCTACAAATTACTTGATTGCCTGGATCTATATGCCAATTTGTCGAATGAATCGAAACGGCTGGCGTTTGCCGAGCAATTCTTGAATGTTTTACTCAAAGATGTTCTGAAACGTAAATATGACTTTCAGGAGAATCTAACCGATTGGATGGAGCAACAACGAAAGGCATTTAAGGTGAGTGTTCTAAAAAATTATAACAATATCATTCGCAACTTGGACAAACAACATGTGTTGCATGAGCTAAATACGCAATATTACGGCAAATTTGCACGAATAGAATGTAAATTGTTGGCTGCCAAACAATTGTTCGAATTTAATGGAATTCCACCGACCATTAAGGACGAAAGCAACCATTCGAAAATCGTGTCTTCACTTTTTGGGCTATCTTCGGAACCTCCACCATCAACCCCCTTGCCCGTAATCAAAGCATGGTTTTTGGGACCCTTGTTCATCTTGTTCCGGATGGATCCCGCCCTGAGATGCCAAACTTTTCTTTCAAATCAGTTGGGTGTAGGTATGGGTGTGGGTGTGAGTGTGGGTGTGAGTGTGAGTGTGGGTGTAGGTGTGGGTGTAGGTGTGGGTGTGGGAAGTGTGGTGTGGCATGTGAGGTATGAGGCGTGCGTGCGGGTGGGGGTGGGGGGGGGGGTGGGTGTGGGTGTGGGTGTGGGTGGGG